CTAGCCAGCTGAGTAACCTTGGGCCCAGCATGCACCTCCTGCGTGCCTCAGTTTCCCTGTCTGTCAGACTAACTGTGGGGCTCATCAGGATTCTGCAACTACCACCTCCACCCCTGCGTGGGGCTGTTTGTGCAGTTCTGGGCCCCAGGCAAGGGCATCAGAGACCGCCCTCATTTCACAAAAGAGGAAACAGACCAGAGAGGTGAAGGTGCTGGCCCTAAGTCACACAGCAGGTAACAGCAGGATTCGCACCCAGGTCTTTCTTACCCCCAAGCCCATGCTTTGAGTCACTACAGGGACCCCAACTTGCCAGGGGCTCTTTATTATGCACCTACTGCATACACACTGTCCCTGTCCCATACATCACCCCATTTCGCAGATGAAGAAACTGAGGCCCCAAGAGGGAACGAGACTTGCTCAAGTCACAGAGCCCAGCCAGGCAGGGCCAAGGCCTGGGCGTGAGCCCAGAGGGCTGGAGTGCAGGGTTCCCCCCTCACTCTGTCCTGCCCCCCAGGCGACCCTGTTTGCAGCAGACATGTCCGAAGAGGAGGCAGCTCAGGCCCCCAGCCCATGGGAGGAGCAGGACCAGCAGGTGAGGGGAAGGGAGCAGGGACAATCCCCTCTGGGACAGTTTCAGGCTAGCTGTCCCCTCCCACTCCTATCCTTCCTAGGCGAACCGGATTCTGAGAACGGTTTGGACCATGGAGGGGTCTGGTATACCTGTCATTTCCCAGAGGGGTGGAACGAGGCCCTGGGAGGGGATGTCTGTCCAAGAACACCCGGCCGGCTTACCTGGCCCCCGCCCAGCCCTTTTCTTCTGCCATCCCTGGGTCTCCCCCTACGCCTTTCTCTGTGTCCACCATCACTATACTCTCAACAACAACAACGGCAACAATAATAGTAACCGCAGCAATCACAGCAATACTCTGTGTCCCTCAGACTTCAAGCATTCCCCTTACATTGGCTCCTTGAATCCCGCATCGCAACCCCAGAAACCCATTTTATAGACGGGGAAGCCGAGGCATTTGCCCAGGTTCACACAGCCCGGAGGTGGCTGAACCAGACCCGAACAAGGGAGACTCCCCTGCCTGCTCCCTTGGACAGACACATCGCAGCTGACTCTTGAACAGCACAGGTCTAAACTGCACAGGTCCGTGTCTACACGGAATGTTTTCAACTGGACGTGGATTTAAAAATACAGTATCCGTGGGATGAGAAACCCGCATACACAAAGGGCCAACCTTTCACACGCGCAGGTCCTGCAGGATGTGCGGATTTGGGATATTGGGGGCAGGGAGGGCCTGGAACCAGTCCCCCGCCTGTGCTGAGGGGCAACTATATTTCAAAATGTGTATCGTTCCATGTAGCAATTGAGACCGGGGGCCACTGAGACCGTCTGCACTGCCTGTACTTGGTCAGGCGCTCAATACACTCTCCCTCGACCCTCTCCCGTGCCTCACCTGGCCCAGAGAGGGGAAGCGGGCTCACGTGTGGCTTGAGCCCCCACCTTCCCCGGGGGGCCCCTCTGATGTCACCCCTTCCCGCAGAACGTGGTGCAGCGCGTGGCGGCGCTGCCCCTGGTCAGGGACACGTGTACCGCCGTCCTCGATGCTTACAGCGCGGCCAAGGACAGGCACCCGCTGCTGGGCTCTGCCTGCCGCCTGGCCGAGCACTGTGTGTGCGGCCTGACCACGCGGGCGCTGGACCACGCCCAGCCGCTGCTCCACCACCTGCAGCCCCAGCGTGAGTGCCCCCGGGGCCCGGGGGGCTGTGGCTTGCCCCGCTGCCCTGCCCCCACCCCTTGGTCCATCGTGCCTGGGGTCATCCTCCCGAACCCGGTGTCCCACCTGCCCACCTGTCCCGTCTGCCCATCCGGCCCCCATCCTACCTCTCTACAATCTCTTCCACTGTGATGTCCCTCTTAACTTTGATCACCCCACCTTCTGCCCTTACTTGTTTACTGGTGCTCCTCTCTGTCCCTCCCTGTCCCCTCCCTGGTTCATTGGCCTGACATGCCCGGGTCCGTTTGTCCAGCCTCCCTCCCCTGTGTCCCTGCCTCTGCCTGTCCTGAGCTCTGCAGTCCCCACATCTCCATGGACCCCTGTGACCAGCTCAGGGCTGCAACCCGGCGGGGGTGACAGGCGACGGGCAGAAGGACACTTGGCCTCTTGTCTGACTGAGGAAGAGGGTCACCTGAGCGTCCCAGCCCAGCGCCTCCCCCACCTCCCTCTAGCCGGCTCCTGTGACCTTGAGCCTGCTCGCTGGGACATCTGAGCCTGGCAGGGCTGAGGAGTCACCTTGGTGCTGGGAGCAGAGGAGGGAGCCTGGTGGCCAGCCCACCCCCAGGCCCCCCAGCGCCGCTCAGGGTACCAGCTGCATGCTGCGAGGCCCCCGCGGGCATCCGTCTAGCCTCCTGGTGGCTTCACTAGACTCTCCACATGTGAGGTCGCAGGAGGCCTTCCTGCCTCTGCGGGTGACTCTGTCCAGTGCCCGAGCATGGCCTCCTTTCTTCTTTTCTGTTCCGTCTCTCCCTCTAGCATGCCCTCCCTCTCCATCCCTCACTGTGTCCCTATCTCCCTCTGAATGTCCACCTCTCTCCCCTCAGTGGCCACAGTGAACGACCTCGCCTGCAGGGGCCTGGACAAGCTGCAGGAGAAGCTGCCCTTCCTCCAGCAGCCCTCGGACACGGTACCTGGCGCGACCAGACCACGGGGAATTACAGGCTTGTGCCTGTGATCCCAGCACCCTGGGAGGCCGAGGCAGGAGGATCTCCTGAGGCCAGAAGTTTGAGACCAGCCTGGGCAACAGAGCAAGACCCCATCTCTACAAGAAATAGAAAAATTAGCCGGGTGTGGTGGCGCCTGTAGTCCCAGCTACTCGGAAGGCTGAGGCAGGAGGATCACTGGAGCCCAGGAGTTGGAGGCTACAGTGAGCTGTGATGATGCCACTGTACTCCAGCCTGGGCAGCAGAGCAAGACCCCATCGCAAAAATAAATCAATAAATAAAATAACAGCCAGATTAGAATAATGGCCACCCACATATATTGTGCCAGTAGGCGCTGGTGACCCGTACCCCCTCAACAACTCCTGTGAGGGAGCGGGGTTATTTTTACCTCCTCTCCTACCATCATTTTAAAGAGGGGAAACTGAGGGAGTCCCAGAGCCAGGAAGAGGTCCAGGGGTCTTAGAGCCCCAGCCCCAGGGAACCTGGGTGGGGAGAACAGAGCTGGAGCCCTGCGGTGCCTAGAGCGGGGGCCCCTCCCGCCAGGTGGTGACCTCAGCCAAGGACGCGGTGGCCAGCGGTGTCACAGGCGTGGTGGGCCTGGCGCGGCGGGGCCGGCGCTGGAGCGTGGACCTGAAGCGCTCCGTGAGCCACGCCATGGACGTGGTGCTGGAGAAGTCCGAGGAGCTGGTGGACCACTTCCTGCCCATGACGGAGGAGGAGCTGGGTGAGGTGGCGCCCTCCCTGCCCAACCCTAGCACGATGTCCCCGTGGTACAGATCAGAGAGGCCTGAGACTTGCCCATGGCCACACAGCAGATTAGCTGGAAGCACGGAGCCCCAACCCAGGCCTGGACCTCCCCGGTACTTCTGCGGCCCCCCGACCCACATCCCCCCAGGAATCGGAACACCCAGACCCCGAGGGCATATGGGGCTTGTAGACTTGAGGACCAAGGTCTCGAACTGGTGGCCCCCTAAATGTTATCTGGCCCATGCCATGTCTTTTAAACATTTAGTTTTTTTTATGCATTTCACAATGAGATTTTGCGCTACAAATGCTGATTTCTGGCTTGTCTTGAAAAACCAGACCCCGGCAGAATAGATCCACCCTTTAGACGGCTCCTTTCACGCCACTAAGCCCCGGTGTTCTACGTCTTAATCTGTCTCGGTCACTTTTGATACCTGCCTGGCCCTGGAATTGATGCGAAATTTCAACCCCCTGCTTACAGCATTAGAAGAATGTAAATCGACTTACCCCCAACTTGGCAGAACGGCAGTGAGGCATTGATGAAGCACCTACTGTGTGCCGGGCACTTGTGACCTGTTCTTTCGGAGACTGTTTAATAGCATGGTTAAGCACAGCCTGGGTTCGAATCCCGGGTTCGCCCCTTGTACCCTCTGGGATTTCACCTCTGTTTGCCTTAGTTTTCCTCCTCTGTAAAGTGGGACCGATGACTGTGCCTACATCTCAGGGTTTGGGGAAGATGAACTGGGTTGATATTAGTAAAGGGAAACTGGAAATCTGGGAGGCTGTGGGCTTGTTCTGCCCAGGTGGGTGAGCGGATGCGGAAGGGGTGGCCACGCTGACGCCTTCTGCCCTGTACCACCCTCCAGCGGCGCTGGCGGCTGAGGCCGAGGGCCCAGAAGTGGGCTCCGTGGAGGATCAGAGGAAGCAGCAGGGCTACTTTGTGCGTCTGGGCTCTCTGTCCGCGCGGATCCGCCACCTGGCGTACGAGCACTCTCTGGGGAAACTGAGGCAGAGCAAACACCGCGCCCAGGACACGCTGGCCCAGCTGCAGGAGACGCTGGAGCTGGTGAGAGTCCTCTGCCCGCCCCTGCTCCGGGATGCAGGCCAATCAGCATGCATTGAGCACCGGCTGAGTGCCTGGGCCTGTGCTAGTCTGAAGGGGGAGGCAGAGCCGGCGCGGCTGCCTCCAGCCACGTGGGTTCAGGGCCGGGGCAGAGGGGGTGACCTGGGCCTCGGGGAGCCCTGAGGTGTCACGGCTCTGCCTGGGGAGTCAGGGAGGGCGTTCGTGGAGGAGGGGACGTAGGAGCCAGAGTTTATAGCTTTTAGAGTAGGTGAGAAGAAAAGAGCATTTCTCTTCCCTTGCAAAGCAGTAGGAATCCTCCAACCTTAGGGCTGTCTCCCCACAGCAGCCACCAGGGGGCGCCCGTAAGTGCCTGAGTCAGGGCCGTCCCCCCTCTGCCCACAGCCCTCCGTGGCTCCCACCTCCCTCGGGGTCAAAGCCCAAGTCCTCCCTGCAGCCCACAAAGCCCTGCACGACCTGCCTCCATCACCTAAATGTTTACTGAAGTCAGATCCAGGTGAGGGTTGCTCCCGAATCCTCCAGCCCTGACGGCCGTGGTCCCTGTCCTTGCAGATCGACCTCATGCGGTGCGGGGTGGCCCCCACGGCCCCAGCCCGCCCCGGGAAGGTGCACGAGCTGTGGGGGGACTGGAGCCAGCACCCTCTGGAGAACGGCCGCCGCCGGAGCCAGGTGAGCAAGACCTCGGGGGAGTCAGGTGGGGTGGTGGCTACTGCCAGGCTGGGGGTGGGGGGGACAAGGGCTCCGGATCAGCCCCCTGCTGCCAGGGGGCCGCACTCAAGCTGCGGCAAACCAAGTACTGAGGTCAGCCAGAGGGGTGTCCATGGGGGAAACTGAGGCAGGGCATTGTTCCCACTGGGTGTTCACTGGGGAAACTGAGGCAGGGTAACAGTCCTACTGGGTGTCCATGGGAGAAACAGGGAGGGCTGGGTCCCCTTGTGTTTCCATGAGGGAAACTGAGGGAAAGCATTGGTGCCACTGGGTGTCCATTGAGGAAACTGAGGCAAGGTAACAGTCCCTCTGGGTGTTCACTGGGGAAACTGAGGCAGGGCAACGGTCCCACTGGGTGTCCACCGGGGAAACAGGCCAGGCTGGGTCCCCTTGTGTGTTCACGAGGGAGACTAAGGCAGGCCTGGGTCACGTTCTGTGTCCATGGGGGAAACTGAGGCAGGTTGATGGCCCCGTGGTGGGTCCAGTGGGGGAATCGAGGCAGGAAGACAGTCCCACCGGGGGTCCGTTGGGGAAACTGAGGTCCCCACCGCCCCCGCCCGCAGGCGGAGCTGGAGACGCTGGTGCTGTCGCGCAGCCTGACCCAGGAGCTGCGCGGCACGGTGGACGCGCTGGAGGCCGGCGTGCGGGGCCTGCCCCCCAGCGCCCAGGAGAAGGTGGCCGAGGTGCGGCGCAGCGTGGACGCTCTGCAGGCCGCCTTCGCGGACGCCCGCTGCTTTGGGGACGTGCCGGCGGCCGTGCTGGCCGAGGGCCGGGGCAGCGTGGCCCGGGCGCACGCCTGCGTGGACGAGCTGCTGGAGCTCGTGCTGCAGGCCGTGCCGCTGCCCTGGCTGGTGGGGCCCTTCGCGCCCATCCTCGTGGAGCGGCCCGAGCCCCCGCCCAACCTGGCGGCCCTCGTGGACGAGGTCGTGGGGGGCCCTGACCCCCGCTGGGCGCATCTGGACTGGCCAGCGCAGCAGAGGGCCTGGCAGGCCCAGCACGGGGACGGGGACCTTGGTGAGGAGGAGCCCGAGCCCCCCAGCCCTCCGGCCAAGCACACCCTGATGCCCGAGCTGGACTTCTGACCGCCGGCGCCCGCACGCCGAGGTCCCTGCTGCCCCCGCTGGCCGCGCACGAGCACCAGGCCGACGCCTTGGCCTTGCCGCGGGGGACCTCCCTTGGACACAGGGAAAGAGGCCCGGCAACAGCAGGGACTTCAGCCCAGAGCTGGGCTCTTCACTCTGTCCCGTCCCCACCCCAAGAAGCCGTTCGAAACTCTCCCAAGAAACACCCGGAAGTTTTGCCCAGTGGCTTCTATCTGGGGCTTTGAAAAGTGAGCCCCCCTCCCCACTCCAGCTTGACTCTCTGGGACTGAGGGGTCCCCCAGAGATGCCCGCCGTGCCAGACCCACTTCCTTTGCCTTTTAGGGTTTGTGCCCCAGAATAAAGGTGCTTTGTGTCGTCCAGAGGCCCCGGCTTTGCTCCGGCCCGGGTGGGTCTCAGTCCCAGGGTGCTGGAGGCCTCGGAGGTGTGTGACGGCAGGGACGTGGGGAGGGGGTGTCAAGCCAGGGTTCGAGGTTTGGAAGGAATGATGCGTCCCCGACTTGCCTGGCACCCCGTCTGGGATTCCGCCGTTAGTGCTCAGCCCACCTGGGTGCCCTCTCAGGTGCATCTACCTACATAGAAGCTGTTCTCACTTTAGTATAAATTAGCATTTCTTGGAAACTGCAGGGAGCAAACAGGAGGGGAAAGAAGGCAGAAGGGGCAGCTCTTGGGCCCGCCTGCCCGGATCTGTGGGAGCTGGTCTCCCTGTGGTTTCTCCAGCTGCCCTGGCCAGGATGGGGGAGACAGAGGTAGGACAAGGGCCACGGGGTGGTCTCATGGGGGCCCTCCCGTCCTCTGACCGCATTCTCAGCTGCCCCCCACACTCCCCTGCGGCTGGGCGGGGTGTTGGGAAACCACAGCCTGGCGTGGTGAGGTCAGGGTGGCCCCTGGCTACCCTGGGATCCGGTCCAGAGGGTGGCTCTGGGAGCCCCAACCACTTCCCACTGGCCAGATTCATGTCCCTGTCCCTGGTCCAGAACCTCTATAGCTCCCCATCACCCTCAGACCAAACACCCAAGTCCTTCACCTTCCAGCCTCATCCTCCAGCTACTCGGACACTTAGCTTCGTTCCCACTGAACCATGCATGTCCCCACACCCCCGGGCCTTTGCCCACGCTGTGCTTGCTGCCTGGAATGCCCTTCCCACCCTCCCACCTGTCTCTTGGACACATCTTGTCCAAACTTGAGGCCCAACCCCAATACTCCTCCTCCAGGGAGCCTTCCCAGACGCTAGCCCAGCGGGGTACCTCCCTCTTCCAAGCCTTCGCATCCATTTACCTAGTAAACACCTCATCCGTGGACGCTATCATGCACCTGTTCATTTGTTCATTCAACAAGTATTTATTGAGCACCTGCTGTAAGACAGACAGTTCTCCGCCCTGGAGACGGACGCAGCAGCGAGCAAAACATATCCTGTCCTCTAGGAGTTTACGGTGTAGCAGGGAAGACGGACGATAAACAAGAAAAGTGAGTGCATTAGCGTTAGTAGGTGCAGGAAAAATAAATGGGGATGGGTGTGTGGGGCATGGAGGGTGTATATTTTAATTGCGAGGGGGGATCCAGGAAGGCCTCTCTGAGCAGGTGACATCTGAGGAAAGACCTCGAAGGGCGTTCCAGGTAGAGGGGAAACAGCCTGTGCAAAGGCCCTGGGGCAGGACTGCATCTGGCATGTTGGAGGCACAGCCAAGAGGCCCGTGTGGCTGGAGCAGAGGGAGGAGGGGGAGAGAGAGAAGAGGGGAGGGCCTGGTGGGCCACAGTGAGGACTTGGGCTTTGACCCTGAGGGAGGTGGGAGCCATGGAGGACTGTGGGCAGAGGAGAGACGGACCCTGACTGGGGCGTTTATGATTTTTTGTCATTTCTTCTCCTGGCTTTCTCCCCACACTGAGCTGTGGCCGCCCCGAGGGAAGGGGCGGGGAACACCGGAGTTCTCCCGTCACCCTTGGGAACCATTGGCTAGGAGGACAGAGGCTGGGGGATGCCCCCCTCTGTTCCCCGACTGTTTGGCAAACATAGTGACGGCTCCAAGGAGACGGCCTGGGGTCACGAGGCCCAGCGGCCGGAGCCTCCCTTTTCCCAGCTTTGGTGTGACCCTCACCCCAATAGCACATGGCTGGGAACCCTGTCCCAGGGGCAGGCAGGAGGGACACGGCCCAGGAAGAGTGTGCCAAGCATTCCTCTGCATGCCCACCTACCCACAGCCCACCCAGCACACAGGGCCGGGTCTGGGTTTGAATCCTGTCTTTGCCACTTCCTGGCTATCTGGTCTCAGGCATGGGACACCTCCTCTGGGCAGCCTCCCTGGGTTGGCCCAAGCCCACCCAGCCAGGTTCCCACTCCTAGGGTGCCCACAGCTCTGCTGGTGGTCTGTCTTCTTCCTGCTTGGGAAACCCCCTGTGCCTCTCGGAGACCCCATTTGTGTCTGGGCAGTGCCAGGTTAAGGTTTGCTGAGTGCCTGCTGGTGCCAGGCACTGGGGTAGACAGGACACAGGTAGGAGCCCATTTCACACTCACAACCAGCCTGTGAGTTGGTCCATTTAGCCAAACATCCATTCATTCATTCATTGAGGGATAGGGTCTCGCTCTGTCATCCAGGCTGGAGTGCAGTGGTGCAATCACAGCTCACTGCAGCCTCCAACTCCTGGGCTCAAGCGAATCCTCCGGCCTCAGCCTCCCGAGTAGCTGGGACTACAGGTGCCACAACTATGCCCGGCTAATTTTTACATTTTGTTTTAGAGATGGGGTCTTGCTATGTTACCCAGTCTGGTCTCCAACTCCTGGCCTCAAGCGCTCCTCCTGCCTCAGCCTCCCAAAGCACTGGGATTAGAGGCGTGAGCCACCGCTTCTGTTTCCAAACATTTATTAAGTGCTGAATGTGTGCCAAGCACTGTTCTAGGTACAGGGGACACAGCAGGGAACAAAACGGGCTTGACAGAGGTGAGGAACGGAGGGAGCTGTGTGAGTAGCTGGGGGAGGGTGCTCCAGGCAGAGGGCACAGGCTGCGCAGAGGGCACAGGCTGCGCAAAGGCCCTGGGGCAGGATCGTGCTGGGGTGTTGGAGAAACAGGGAAGGGGCCCTGTGGCTGGAGTGAAGTGGGGTGGGGCAGGCAGGAAGCAGGACTTCATGAGCCACAGTGAGGAGCCTGGAAGGGGAAACTGAGGCACAAAGATGGCAACTGGCCAGGGTGTCCCAGCGAGGCAGGGATCTGGGCTGTGCCCACCCCATGGATGGAAACTGGAGGGTGCAGGGGGTGTCCCGAGGTCCGGGAGGGGAGCGCAGCTGGCCCGTGAGTGCCTCAGCCGCGTGGGCAGAGAGCAGGGGAAAGGTGCTGGGCCGGGGCCCATGCTGGGCACGTGACGGCCCGGGCCGCCCCCCCAGCCCATTGGCCGCCTGCCCCTGCCGGCTGGGCCTGAGCCTGCCCCAGACCCTATAAGGCCTGCGAGCCGCGAGCAGAGCCAGCTGCCAGCCGAGCCACCCGTCGCTCCGAGGGACCCCACACAGTCCAGGTGAGCGGAGACGCGTCTGTCCCTGGTGACACCAGGGCGGGGCCAGGCCTCCAGGTCACTGCGTGGGGGACGGTGTGGAGCAGGAGGCCCGGGACCCCCCCATTCACACACGTCTCTGTCCCCTTCCAGCCACTCAGGCACCACCATGTCTGCTCCGGACGAAAGCAGCCGGGACCCCCCCAAACCCAAGGGCAAGGTAAGGGACGGAGGGAGGAACAGATCCCTGCTGGGGCCCGGAGACCCCAGGAGCCTCGGGAAGGCGACCTCCATGGTCCTGGGGCCTGGAGTACGGAGAGAGCCTTCCCCAGTCGGGCGGGAAGGCTCTGGGAGCCACGATGCCAGCTCTTCCCTCTTGTCCCCAAGCTGGGCAGAGGGCTCACATGACCTCAGCACCTTCTCTGCTGTTCGACCTTGGGCCAGCCTCAGCCCCTGAGCCTCAGTTTCCCCATTTGTGCAATGGGGTTAGGAAGGAAAAGCTCTTTGGGGACTTGGGAGATGCCCTTTTCCTCTGTCCCTGGGAGGCAGGCTGAACCCGCCCATTGCCCAGCGAGGAAATTGAGGCTCAGAGTGGCTTCGATGCTTTCCTGGGGTCGCCCAGGGGTGAGGGGCCGGAGCAGTGTTGGGCGGAACGATGCTCCCTCCCACCCGGTCCCTGTCTCGGCCTGGCCAGGCTCACGCTGCCCTCCCCACCCCTGCAGACACTGAGCAGCTTCCTGGGGTCCCTGCCTGGCTTCAGTTCCGCCAGGAACCTGGTGGCCACCGCCCACAGCTCCGCGAGAGAAGCCCGGCCGGCCGCCGACCCTGCGGGGGCCCCTGCCGCCCAGGCTCAGGGTGAGTGGACAGCCCCACGGTGGGGGCCTCTGCCGGTGGACCCAGGAGCCCCTCCCATGTGCCCATGTGGTCTCATCAGATATGAGGAGGCTGGCACACTCGCTTAGTGCCAGACGGGGAAACTGAGGCTTGGGGGTGGGAGTCCCCCAAGGAGGTACAACCAGCAAAAGTGCGGTTGGAACCAGGCCTGTCTTGCTGCAAAGCCCCCCTCACCCCATTTCTGATGCTCCATGGACCAGTGGGGTGCTCTGCACGTCCCTTCCCTGGGGTCACACAGCTGGGTGCTGGGGGCTACACGGGGAGCCCAGGCTGGGGGTGGCTGCACGGGCTGGGCCCCGCTCTGGGCCCGGAGCCCCAGGCAGCTGACTTCTGCTCTACATACCTCGCCCTGCGACGGGCAGCTGGCAGCTGCGGCGGGGGCGGGGCAGGGCCTCCCCCCACCCTGCCAGGCTATGGGGGCCCCGGATCTCAGGGTGGGCACCCAGCACCCAGGCCCAGCGGGGAAAACTCCACGGGGCCCTGCTCCAGGGGACTGCGGCCTTGGGGGGTCGAAGGGGCCCCCGGCAGGATAGGTGGCTGAGCCTGGCTGGTGGCTGTGGAAGTCACCTCGTGCCGTCCCTGGCCGGGCAGCTGAGACATTCCTGACCTTTTGGGCTGTGCCCGGCAATTGCGCAATGGGCACCAGAGTGGGTGATCCCAACTGGTGTCCCTCGCCCTCCCTGACCGGCCCCTGTCCCCGCAGTGGCCACCAACCCAGAGCAGATGGCGAGGGGCATGGAGAAGCCACCGCAGCCTTCGGAAAAGGTGAGGGCCCTGAGAGCCCGGCCTGACACCCTGGGGGGGACCCCTCCTGGGACGTTGCAGTTCCTACCACCTGGGGGTTGCCATAGCCACGGGGAAGGCAGACACAACCCGGGTCCCCTGCTTGGGGGTTCCGGGCACAGCCTTCCCGTCTGTGAAATGGGTGTGGCGCCGCCTCACTTCCCAGTGCCGTGAGACTCCCGTCTGTGCTAGTCCATGCCTAGGACAATGTGACCAAAACGCAGGCAACAGGCTCCGTGCTAAGCACTTCTCGTAGTTGATCCTCCCAAGGGAGTGACAGTGCCCCACACAACAGCAGAAGCACAGAGACGTTGAGCTACCTGCTGGAGGTCACACAGTGAGATGCGGTAGAGATTTGAAACTTGGACAGTTAGGGGCTGAACAGCGACCTATGCTGCATCCACCCTCGGTCCTGGGTAACTGGGGTCCGCTGGCCATATCACTGTCCCCAAGGCCCGGCCAAGCGGAGGGGCTGATCTAGGACAGCAGGAGGCAAATGAACAGCAAGGCCCCGGGACAATTCTGCCCGGCACACCCCCCCACTTGGCGTCTCCCACGACTCCCCTCTGCCCTCAGCACCTGCCAGATCAGAGGATCCCAGAGGGCCCCCAGCAGCTGGGCTGCCCCTTTGTGCATTGCCCCACTCCTCCATGCTGGCACCAATTAAGCACCTACTGCACGCGAAGTGCTTCAGGCACCTTGATTCATCTGCACCACCCCTGAAGGACGAGCTGTTTTAATTTCAAGTTTTCAGATGAAGATACAGGCTCAGAAAGGGGATGTGGCTTGCCTAAGGTCACACAGCAAGTACAGAAAAGAGAGGTGGGATTTGAACCCAGGTCTCTCCAGCCAAAGAGCCCAGGGTGCTCACCTGCGCCAAGACTGGGCCGGAGTCAGGTGGTGAGAATACAATTCCAGGGCTCCTCAATCTCAATACTAAGGATATTTGGGGCAGTGTCGTTCTCTGGGGTGGGGCCATCCTGGGCACTGCAGGGTGCTGAGCAGTGTCCCTGCCTCCACCCCCCCCCAAGCCAGGAGCACCCCTCAGTTGTGATGACCACAGATGTCCCCAGACATTGCCCAGTGTCCTGCGGGGGACAGAACTGCCCCATTTGAGAACCACACACCTGAGTGGTGGTGACTCCTAGGCCATCAGCCCCTCCACTTAGTTTGCTGAAACTAGAGAAAACTGCTCCTTCGGTAGTCACAACTGACTAGTTACTGGCAAGGTCCCAGGGCTCAACCTAATGCCTATCTCTGTACTTTTCTGGTTATTACTTTTATTTTTTTTTTAACTTTTATTATTTCGGGGTATGTTTGTTTTCAATTTTGTTTTTGAGTCAGGGTCTTGCTCTGTCACCCAGGCTGGAGTGCAGTGGCATCATCACAGCTCACTGCATCCTCCAACCCCTGGGCTTGAGCGATCCTCCTGCCTCAGCCTCCCGAGCAGCTGGGACTACAAGTGCAGCCACCACGCCCGGCTAATTTTTCTATTTTTTGTAGCGCCTGGCCCGGTTATTCCTTTTCTAAACCACGATTCACTTCTTTTACTTGAACACGTTAATTTTAATAAGCAATTTGGCCTCCGCAGTGTTACTAGGAAACCAGGTTTAAAATTTGCCATGAGCGGAGAATAGGCAAGATGGAAAAACTTGAACTCGATGACGTGCGTGGAGCCTGGGCCGTGGGACCTGGGCCTTGGCGAGGGTTCGAGAGGAGTCAGGGACCTGCTGGTACCAACGGGGTGTCTACTGATGCAGGGGGTGCGAGTGAGGGGCAGGGAATCGTGGGGTGCTCTGTGATGCAGAGCCCGTGAAGTTGTGTCCCGCAAGGCTACAGCTTGGGGAGCACCCCAGGGGGACGTCCACTGGGGGGTGGGAAGCAGCTCATTTCTCGGGGAGGTGGGACCTCTAGGTGACTGCAGTCCTCCCCATAGGGCACACGAGGCAGTCAGGGAGGCAAACGTCCAGGGAGGAGGTGGCTCTCGGTTCCCCCTAACCACCTGTGTCCTTTCTCAGCAAATCGTGTCCGGGGCCAAAGACCTGGTGTGCTCCAAGATGACTAAGACCAAGGACAGCATCTCTTCTGGGGTGGCCAACGTGGTGGACGCGGCTAAGGGAGCGGTCCAGGGAGGCCTGGACACCACCCGATCTGCACTCACAGGCACCAAGGACGCAGTGTCCAGTGGGGTCATGGGGGCAGTGGGCATGGCCAAAGGGGTTGTCCAAGGTGGTCTGGACACCTCAAAGGCTGTCATCACTGGAACCAAAGACACAGTGTCCACTGGGGTCATGGGGGCAGTGAATGTGGCCAAAGGAACTGTCCAGACTGGCGTAGACACCACCAAGACTGTGCTGACAGGCACCAAGGACACCGTCTGCAGTGGGGTGACCGGTGCTGTGAATGTGGCCAAAGGGGCTGTCCAAGGCGGCCTGGACACCACCAAGTCTGTGGTCACAGGTACGAAAGACGCAGTGTCCACGGGGGTGATGGGGGCAGTGAACATGGCCAAAGGAACCGTCCAGACAGGTGTGGACACCACCAAGACCGTGCTGACTGGCACCAAGGACACCGTCTATAGTGGAGTGACCAGTGCCATGAATGTGGCCAAAGGAACTCTCCAGACTGGCCTGGACACCAGTAAGACGGTGCTGACTGGCACCAAAGACACAGTGTCCACTGGGGTCATGGGGGCGGTGAACTTGGCCAAAGGGACTGTTCAGACTGGCGTGGACACCACCAAGACCGTGTTGACAGGTACCAAGGACACCGTCTGCAGTGGGGTGTCCAGTGCGGTGAACGTGGCCAAAGGGGCCGTCGACGGTGGCCTGGACACCACCAAGTCTGTGGTTATGGGCACCAAAGACGCAGTGTCCACTGGGCTCACTGGTGCCATGAACGTGGCCAAAGGGACTATCCAGGGGGGCCTGGACACCACCAAGACTATGCTGACTGGCACCAAAGACACAGTGTCCACTGGGGTCATGGGGGCAGTGAATTTGGCTAAAGGAACCATCCAGACCGGTGTGGAAACCACCAAGACTGTCCTGACAGGTACCAAGGACACCATCTGCAGTGGGGTGACCGGAGCCATGAATGTAGCCAAAGGGACTGTCCAGACAGGCGTGGACACCACCAAAGCTGTCCTAACTGGTAGCAAGAACACCCTCAGCAGTGGGGTGACTGGTGCCATGAACGTGGCCAAAGGGGCCATCCAGGGGGGCCTGGACACCACCAAGACTGTGCTGACCGGCACCAAAGACACAGCGTCTGCTGGGCTCACTGGGGCAGGCAATGTGGCCACGGGGGCTGTCCACACTGGCCTCAGCACCATCCGGAACTGGTTACCTGGTACCCAGGACACCGTGTGGGGTCAACACTCCAGTTGCAGGACCACAGACAACGGAGGGGAACAGACCACCCTGAGCCCCCAAGAGGCCCCGACCGTGGGGGTCTCCGGCCCTCCAGCCTCGCTCCGTGCAGGCCTGGAGCTTGCCCAGGAAGCCACAGCCGCCACCAAGGGCCTTGCATGTGATGTGGCCACATTTCCCCAAGAAGCTGCCCCAGGCATGGGGGATGTGGGGCACCTGGCAGCCACGTGTGGCCCCAAAGGAGCCACGGGCTTTGCGGCACTGCAGGACGAGTTGGAGGGGATGGGGGAGATCTTCCACCCCATGAGCGCCACGGAGCAAGGTGAGGTGCCAGGGAGGGGCATGCCCCATCTTGAGCTGGGTCCCCCGGGCTGGTGCCACGCCCAGATGCCCTGCGGGGCTTCTTGGATTGAGTGGCACGCCTCCCTCCACAGCTGAGCTGGCTGCCTCCGGGCCCGGGCCGAAGGTGCTCTCAGCTGACCAGGGAAGCTACTTCGTCCGCTTAGGTGACCTGACCCCCAGCTTCCGCCAGCGCGCATTTGAACACGCCGTGAGCCACCTGCAGCACAGCCAGTTCCAAGCCAGGGATGCCCTGGCGCAGCTGGAGGACTGCTGCAGCCTGGTAAGAGCTCCCCCTCCCCTAGGCGCTTCTTAGAGTCCCTGCAGGGCCCCAGACAACGACCCGGCCCCCAGTGTCCACGGCGCCCAGGCGGAGACCTGAGTTAACTGTTTGGAAAAATACTTAGGTTGCTCCCTGCTCACCCCGGACGGACGCCAGAATAAACTCCCAACGGGCAGACGCTGCAGACCAGGTGACCCCAGAGACTCCCCTCCTCTCCCCCTCCCCACTCAGGTGTGGATGTGAACGAGTGCAGCCTCCTAGGACCTCAGCAGGGCAGGGGACTGTGGGATGCAGGGTCCCTTGGGAGTCAGGGGAATCCCCTAACCCAGGGGGTCTCACCTGGGGTGATTCTGCCCCCAGGGGACACTTGTGGTTGTCACGACTGGGGAGGGTGCTCCCGGCATGGACTGGGTGGAGGCAGGGACACTGCTCAGCACCTGCAGTGCCCAGGACAGCTCCTGTCTCAGAATGATCTGGCCCCAAATGTCCCCAGTGCCAAGGGCGCGTCAGTCCTTGGGACCCTTGGCACGCCTCACCTCACTGCAGTCACGCCCAGGGTTTTGAGCTGAGGGCTGACAAGACCCTGACGACGTTATGTTCCTTCGTCTCCCTGAGCTCCCGGGGAACCCGGATGACTGCCTCCTCACACCAGCCACCAGGGTACGACTGACTCTAGACTCGTGGCCACTCCACCTCCCTTAGGAAAGGTCTGGACACAAGGTCCCCAGACCAGGACTTTAAGCACCTCCCCTGGTCCCTAGGAGGGAGCATGATGGGGCCTTGCCCAGAGGCCGTCGTCTCCCCTGCTGGGTTCTCTCTTTCCAGATTGAAGAGGCCAAACAGGCTCCGGACAGGCAGCCCCTGCGTCTGGACCCGGGCTCGAGCGCCAGCGTGGAAGACACTGGTACCCAAGAGGTACGTCTGGCGCAGGCTGAGGTCCCCCCACTCCCTTGCTGGTCCTCCCCCTCACCTGGTGCCTTCCTCCCGCAGGAGCAGGACGCCAGGGTTCTGTCCAGGGTCTGCGGCCTTGCCCGGCAGCTGCACACGGCCTACAGCGGCCTGGCCTCCAGCCTCCAGGGCCTGCCCGCGGAGCTCCAGCAGCGGGTCGGGCGGGCGCGGCACAGCCTCTGCGAGCTCTACGGCATCCTGTCTTCCGCTGGCTGCGTGGAGGAGCTGCCCGCAGAGCACCTGGCCCGGAGTCGCGAGAGCGTGCGCCAGGCGTGGCAGGGGCTGGAAGCGCTGCTGGAGGACGTGCAGCACAGCCCCCCTCTCAGCTGGCTGGTGGGGCCCTTTGCCTCAGCCCCGGCTGGGCAGCACCTGTAGGTCCCGCAGACCAGGGCATGGGGGCCTCCCTGCCCACCCGAGCAGCCTCCTCCGAACCTTCCCCCAGCCCCAGCCCCAGCTTGGCTCCCCAAAGCCCTGGACCCTGGGGGCTGGAGCGGGCCCAGTGTGAGGCCATGGAGGCAGTGACCCGAGTCCAGCTGCACCACGGCCCTTGCTCCGGCCCCGCCTGCACCTGCCACCTCTCCCCGAGCACTGCTGGCCCCTCTCCTGCCCTGGGAGCCAGAGATCGCCAAGACCACAGGCCAATGACCTCCTCTCGAACACCTCGAGTGAGCACTGCGATTAGGAAAGCGACACAGACACTTGCCAGCCTAGCAGGTCCTCCGTGCGCCCCACCAGGAGCCCTTTCATCTTTGAGGGGGGCTCTCCTGGCCCCATAGCTGCCAGCCTAACAGGGTGGTGCTGCTCTGTCCTCGCTCTGCACGCGTGTCCCCCGCCCTACCCAACACTCTGGGGGTCTGGAAGACCATGTTCCCTCATACCAGGATGCACGAGAAAATGCCACCTTCATCCCGGGCAGACTCCTGCTGCCTCTGCCGAGCCCTGGTGTGACCAAGACAAGGGATTTCACAGGGACAGAGCTGCCAGGAGCCTTTGCGCCGGCCTGGCTCAAGGACTGCACAACTTGGAAAGGCGGGGAGTGGCGACCAAACTAGCTGCTTCCTGCCTCCAGCCACTTACCGCAGTGCCACCACCAGAGCACACACCCAGGCTCCGTGGCCCCTCAGGAGGCTGGGCCCAGAGGCTGCCGCTAAAGAACATGAACAAATGGCTTCCCCGCAGGGCACCTGACCAGACCTGCCCCCGTGCTATGTGCACTCGCAGCTGGAGCCCAGGGCAGCCCCCTCCTCCCCCGCGCTCTCCACAGTCACACACAGTCCCCAGAGACCACAATAGACACAGCGCCAACTGCAGAAAACAGGCCCGGTGGCTTGGGCTCACGTCCATCCACACGACACACGGGGCAGGGCTCAGGACGCCCCTTCCCACCACACCATGGCCCGACTCCCGGCTGGGCTGGAGGGAACTCAGCCATCCCGGGCTGGGGGCCTTGAACGCGCAAGCACTGTGTGCTGGGCACCTCGCTAGGAGCCGTGCCCACGTCCCCCGAGTGAACCCACACGACGGTCCTGTGAGGCTGGGGTCAACCCCCTTACACAGACAAGGAAAGAGAAGCCCCGAGTGGGTGGGCCCCCTGCCCAAGGCACACAGCGAGCTGCCATGCAGCTGGATGAGTCGGGGCCTCCCTCACGGCCCCTGAACGTTGAGGACAATGGACAACTCACAGCGTCCCCGGCCAGAATGCCCTGAGCCTGCCTGGGTGCCCAGAGCCACCTGCAGCCTGGGCAGGAGGGACAACAGCCGAGTCAGGGAGTGAGGTGGGGGCTTCGAGGGAAGGCACAGTCCCCACCCTCCTGGCCCAGTCGCACCTCTGTCCTTCCCGGCGTCTGTTCCTGCTTGCCCTGGCGGGGCACTGGTTGCCACACGTGGGAAGGGTCACACCACGGCCTCTGGTTGAGCTGCGAAGTCTGGACGTTTTTATTTCTCCCTCGTTCCTTCTAGAAAAGGCTCACTCCCGCCCTTCTCCTTCACAATCTGCCCTGGGCTGGGTCTGGAGCTCAGAGTGGCCCAAAGGCTGAACCCTTTGTCCCCAGACGGGCCCTGTGACAGCTGCAAACGGCTCCCAGCTCCAGCCCCAGCTGCACTGGCACCGCTAGAAAACCAAGCCAATAAAAGTGATTTCTTTTTTCATTAAAAAACCCTTTATAGTCATTTCATGTCGGTTTGAAATCACAGAAATTAGGCAGAAAAAAAACCCAAGGGGACAAATACAAACAAACAGCACAGCGTCTCCCCAAAAGTTCTCTGCTCGCCTGGGAGGCTGGGGAAGGACACGGGGCGGCCTACGGGCGTCTACTGTGGGCTGAGCGCGGGGTGGGGCCGGCTCGGCGGCCTGCGCTCAGCTCTCCTCGTCCGGGGACTCCGAGTCCACCTGCGCCCGCTCGCACTCCTGCTGGTCACTCCCAGGCCTGTCCAGGTCGGGGCCCTCCCGCAGGCTGCTGATGGGAACACAGCAAAGGTGGCGTGAGCGCCCTCCAGCCCCCTCCCTGCCTCTGGGGTGATGAGGATGGGGAAGGGACCCGGGGGGAGTTCTGCCCCATGCCTGGCACCCGCCATTCCCCGGGGTGACACCTTCCCACCTGCCCCTCCTCCCCCACCAGAGAGGCTGCAAACGACCCGAGAGACCAAGCTCAGCGCCAGCCGGGCCCGGTACAGGGCGGCTGCTCGATAAATGAGGGCTGAATTCGGCCACCAGACACCAGCCTGGGGTTCTCAGCATTGGCCACCATCACAGGGTGGGGCTTGTTCACGGTGCCTGCCTGGGCCACTCTGGAGGGTCGGCAAGAAGCCACCTGTCCAAGAGGTTCAAAGCCCCGGAGCCACCTTAGCGGGGGCCACTGGGAGGAAGTGCCGGCCAGCTGGATCCTGGGGGCCCATGCAAAGGTGGGGGGTGATGTCCCTGGGACCCGTCCCAGCATGGGCAGGGCCCGGTATGAACAGCTCACAGACACGGGCTACCCTGGCCTGGTGACACTCACTCGTTGTGCAGGTCTTCAGAGGAGCCGCCCCTCAGTCCCTCCTCCGAGTCCTGGCCTTCCTCCAGCTCCTTGTCCTCCAGGCTCTCCCCCTTCTGGGACGTGGCCTCGCCATTCACCGGGGCTGAGAGATCTGCGTGGGACAGGCGGGTCACGGGACACTGCTGGGCTGCAGTCGGGGACCCCCTACCCTCCCGGCCGAGAGCAAGCCAACTTGGGGCAGGGGCCTGAAGGACCCTCGGCCCTCCAGGATCCTGGATGGGAGTCACGCTGGGCACCGTGGCTGGTGGGTCCCCGTGCTCCTCAACCCCTGCGCCTGCCCAAACGCAGTGATCCTGTTTCCCAGCCTCGCTGGGAGGGCTCGGTCGCCCAAGGGCTGTTCGGAGCATCTATGGTCAGATTGCCTGACCCCAGAGTCCCCTGGGCCACTGTCCCTGCCGGGCACACCTTCTGTCTCCTCTCAGCCCACCTGTGGACCAGCAGGTTCATGCCCCCAAGGGCTTCATCCCCTACACCTCCATCAGCCGCCTCCTGGGGCGTTCCCACTCCCAACCCCACCACGTGCACAGCTCCCACGGCTGTGCGGAGCCCACGAGCGGTGTGGGTGCGCGCGTGCCGTGAGTCGGCCCTGTCAGCCCCGCAAGCGTGCAGCCCAGGTCACCTGCGCCCTGACTATCTGGCACACGGAGGAGCCCAAACACCCCTCACTGGCTGCCCCGGGGATGGAGCTGGGTCTGCGCAGAGGCCGCAGCGGGGACCCGCCACTCCCAGGTTGGGGGAAGACAGCAGAGCTGCGCCCCCTCCCAGAAGGGGCCGCCCAGCACCTGCCTCTGCAGCTGAGGCCACGGAGGCTCAGGGGCCCAGCCGCCCGCCTCCCCTCTCACCAGTGCTCGGCTCGTCCTCCACATTGCCCTTGGGGGGCTCCTCCCCGGCCAGCTTTTCCTCGGCCTTCTCGGCTTCGGTCTTCTCTTTCTCCGGTCCGGTCTTGTTTGCTTTCTGCACTGCCTCAACCTTGGGCCCCAGGACCCGGGACTTGAGCCGAGTGTAGACTTCGGCCGCCTTCTCCATCACGTCCTTGTTGGCTTTGTACCGGCGAATCTGGCCATGGAGCAGCCCGACTCAGCGCGTGCAGCGGCCTTACCCCCAACCCTGAGTCCCCACCCCCGGCGAGGCCACCCCTCCCAGCCATGCCTCCCGGGAGGGCAGCTCCGTAGGCCTGGCACTTCTGCCTGTCAGCCCGCTGCCTCCTCAATGACCGAGGGCCACTCCGCCAGGAACCCAGGCGCCCAGGCAGACACCTGCTGCCAGCCTCGCCCCAGCTGCCACCAGCACCTTCCGCCTCTGCGATCCCGCCATACCTTCTTCAGCGTGGCCACCACGTCTGTGTTCTTCTGCAGAATCTGAGAGGTCACTTGCAAGGTGCCCAGCTCCTCTAGCGCGTTCAGACACCTCTTTATGTCCTGCAGGGTGGGGTGGGAATGAGAAGGGACAGCCTGGCCAAGGGGTCCCAGAGGCGCTGCTGGGGAGGAGGAGGACACCCTGGGCTCTCCCATGGGGAGGGCTGACTCTGGAGGATGGCGCCACCTCCCCGCCCGGCCAGTGGGGAATCCAGGAACAGGCAGACTCTGGGGGTTGGGGAGCTGGGACCCACCATGGCGCCACCTGCTGGGGAGCCGAGACTGCACCTCAGGACAGGAGACTCCTGTCACCTGCTTACAAGCGAAAGGAACTGGGACCCCCACCCCACCCACCTGTGGGACCCTGGATTTGCCTCAATTTCCCGAGGCCTCTAAGGGAGCCCTGGATGGGAGGTGGCAAAGCGGACTGCTTGGCTCAAGGGAGCGGCTGCGCTGGGACCCCTGGGTCCCGAGGACTCTCACCGGGTTGTCGACCTTCAGGGCGAACTTGATCTCACTGTGCAGCTTCTGAAGCTTCTCCTCCACAGAAGGTTCTGGGGCCAGAAGACAGAGAGTGACGCCAGGCCTGAGCAGGGCCGTGGAGGCCCCAAGTACCTGCTGGCTGCGGGCCAGTGGCTTAAGACCCTCTAGAGGAGTGGTCAGGGCCTCCGGTCTGTACACGTGCTGGGTGCAGCTCAGCCCCTGCCCAGAGCTGGCCGAGGACCTTCCCACACACCCTCTAGGGACGGAACAGCCCAATCACGGCCCTCCCCTCCTCCCTTCTGCAATCACAGGGAGAGAGGGGCCGGAGCAGCCAGGACCTCACCTTTCTTCTTCTCCACCTTCCTGTCCCCCGAGAACCCTTCCGACCGCTTCCGGGTTCGCTCCAACTTCAGGGGCCTGCGGAGAGGCGCTCCCTCAGAAGGGCCCGACCAGCGTCCTCCTGGCCCCCGCCCTAGCCACCGCCCTCCCGCCAAGGGGCCGGGGCCTGCAGCTGCTGCAGTAGGGGAGACCCTAGGAGGAGGGGCGGGTCAAGGTCCCGGCACAACCCAAGCCCAGGGCAGAGGCCAAGGACGTAGGCCTGTCCTCTAGCTCTTATACACAAACACAGAATCCCAGAACTATTTTCTTTTACGCGTGGCAAAGGGCTGGTTGTGTACAACCAAGTGAGTTATGAAAAGGCATCGAGGCTGACGTTCGTGAACGGAGCGACGCGGAGGCGCAGTCCCGCGTGCCACTCCACGCTGGCCGCCGTGCCGCACGGCCCAGTTCCCACTGGGCAGCTTTGTGCGCTGACGGCTGGAATCCCACTTACAAGGTGGGCCTGGAGGTGGCTCTGTCTCCTCATCTTAGAGGGTCTCAGAATTAAAACCACAGGGTGGGGGCACAGTTTCTCAGCCTCGGCACTGCTGACACTCGGGCCCAGAGCGTTCTCTGCGGAGAGGCCGTCCTAGGCACCGCAGGGAGCTGAGCAGCGTCCATGCCTCCACCCACTCCAAGCCCCAAGCATCTCCTTCCCCAGCTGTGACAACCATGAGTGTCCCCAAACATTGCCTAGTGTCCCCGGGGGGTAGGATCACCCTGGTGAGACCCCTGCTCTAAGGGGAGGACGACAGTTCTGCAGCAATGATTCCCGCACAACCTGATAGGCCTCGAGAACTGGAAACTTCAACGGGATCTGCCCCTGAGACCGAGTCCAGAAGCCTCTCCGAGAGGGTGTGGAGCCGAGGGCCCTGGGACACGGGGAGACAGAGGGGGCTCACCTGGCTCGGGGCTTCTCCTCCGGCCGCCCTCTCTTCTCCTTCTGGCCAGACTTCCTCAGGGGCTCTGAGCCTTGCGACTGCAGCTTCCTGGATGATTTCTTTGCCTACGGCGGCCAGAGAAGGGGGTTTGGAGCGGTGGGAAGCAGGGCTTGCCCCAGACCCCTGAGCCACCCACCTTGATGCGTAGCAAGACACTCTGCTGTCCCTCCATTCTGTGCAGACTTTGTGGGGCAGGGTGGGAGGGGACGGAGGACCCTGGGAGTCTTGGAGCCGAGGCTCCAACCTGTGGAGGACAGCCCCACTGCCCTGCCGCCAGCAGCTCTAGGTCCAGGTTGGGACAGTTTCTGTACCAGAGTGCCATCTCCTTCAGTGACAGGAAGAGAAGAGGGCGTTTTTCCTGTTCCCCCAAAGCAAGCAGGCCTGGCCCAGGGGTCACCATCGCATGGGGTCTCTGGGCCTCGGTCTAGAAGGTCAGACTCTATGGATTCCGGCCAGACAGCCAGTGCCACAGGTGGGGAGCTCAACAGGGCCCATAGCACACGTGTACAGAGCAGGCGTGACAGTCACCACCTGCCTCACCTGCTCCCTCAGTGGCCAGAGGGTACCTGTGAGCACCTGAGTCAAGGCCGGTCCCTCTTCTGTCCACAGCCCTCCATGGGTCCCACCTCCCTCGAGTCAAATCCGACCAGGCCCTGCACGATCTGCCCCGTCCCCTCCCTGCCCTCTCCTCTTCCCTCTCCCCCGCTCCTCACTCTGCTCCAGCCACACGGGCCTCCTTGCTGTGCCTCCAACATGCCAGGCACGGTCCTGCCACAGGGCCTTTGCACACGCTGTGCCTCTGCCTAGAACACCTCCCCCCAGATACTTTCACAGATCCCCTCTCCCTTCATTGGGATCCTTACTTAAATCTGAACTCTATCCTTTGGGGTCTACTGATGTCTCTGGGATCTACCCTCATACACGCACCCACTTTATTCTTCTCCTTGGCACCGAACACTCCGGGAAACACCACACACAACGGTCACATCATGCCCTGTCCACTTCCCTCCCTCCCTCTGACGTCAGCCCCTCCAGGGCAGGGGTTTCTGGGCTTCTGCGCTCCCACTGCTCTATCCCCAGCACCCGAGATGGTGCGCTATACCCAGTAGCTGCTCAAAAAATGTGTGGGTGGGCCAGGCGCGGTGGCTCACACCTGTAATCCTAGCACTCTGGGAGGCCAAGGTGGGGCGGATCGCTCAAGGTCAGGAGTTCGAGACCAGCCTGAGCAAGAGCAAGACCCCGTCTCCACTAAAAATAGAAAGAAATTATCTGGACAACTAAAAATATATATATAGAGAGAAAAAATTAGCCGGGCATGGTGGCACATGCCTGTAGTCCCAGCTACTCGGGAGGCTGAGGCAGAAGGATTGCTTGAGCCCAGGAGTTTGAGGTTGCTGTGAGCTAGACTGACGCCACGGCACTCACTCTAGCCCCGGCAACAAAGCGATACTCTGTCTCAAAAAAAAAAAAAAATGTGTAGGTGAAGGCAGGGACGGCTGGCTGCAGCCACAGCCAGGCGAGGCAGGGGAGGGCTCCAGGCAGGGCCGCACCTCTCTCTCCAGCTCGGCCTCGGGCTCCGAGTCGGAGGAGGACCGGGGGCCCCGGCCGCGGCCCTTGCGGCCACGCTTCTTCACGGGCTCCTCATCCTCCCGGAGCTCCTCGCCGCTGCTGCCACCGCTGGCCCCGCGCTCGGCCTCCTCGCGCTCGGCCCGCTCACGCCGCCGCTCCTTCTCCTCCTTCTCCTGCTCCCGCAGCCGCCGCAGCTCCTCCTCCTGCTCGCGCCGCCGCCGGGCCTCCAGCTCCCGCCGTCGCGCCTCATCCCTCCGCTTCCATTCGCTGATGCGGTCCACCTCCTCGCTGTCGCTGCGGGCGGGAGGGTGGTTGGGGCTCCTGTTCCGGTGGACACCAGGGCCCCGCGCCTGTGGCCTCGGCTGATGGACAACCCCACCCCCTAGAGGTGACCCCAACACCCACCTGTCGCTGCTGGAGCTGGACGGGGGCCGTTCAGGTTTCGGTTTCCGGCCTCGGGGCTTTGGGGGAGGCTTCTCAGCTATGGGGAAAGGAAGGGGGTGACCGTCTCAGCATTGTCTCTCCCAGGGGGGCTCTGAGCAGACAGGGACCACCCCGGGAGCCCCCAGCACAGGCCAGGCCGAGAGGGCCATGGGTGCAAGAGCGCGGGCCATGGGCGCCGGGCAGGCCCTACCTGGCTTCCTGCCCCGTGGAGGCTTCTTGACAGACACATCCGAGTCGGAAGAGGAGGAGGAAGAGGAAGAAGAAGAGGAGGATGCTGACCTCCCCACAGCCACGGGCTCAGCCTTGGCCCTGTCGGAATCTGCTTTGGAGTCTGAGTCGGAGGCCGAGGGTGCCTTCTGAGGAGCAGCAGGGACAGGCAGGAGTTAGGAGGCCAGCGTGGAGAGTGCGCCACGCGGGACGAGGGGAGGCCAGGTCCGTCCCCTGCACCCCCCAGTCCGCAGGCTCCTCACACTAAACCCTCCCTCGTGACCTGCTGCAAACCCGCCTGCACCCACATGAAAACCAGGAATCACAGGCCGCTGGGGTAACTCGGGCCTCAGCTCTGTCAGGGGGCTTCACGCCCCCGGCGGTGAAGTGGGGGGCACACTGGAGCGCCAGAGTTCCCAGTGGCAAGATCTTTACTTTGTGCAAAACCTTATGTGGGGGCAAACGAGACATGCTGCTCTCCTCTGCCGTCTTCACGGCCCACAGCGCCCTAGCCCACGACCGCACACGTAGGCACACACTGCACACATGGGCACACGGGCACACACGGACACAGGCACACACACAGGCACACACACACCACAGGCACACAGACACACACATGCAAACACATGCACACAACAAACACAGAACCCACATACCCAGACACACACCACACACATACGCATAGACACAAATGCACGCACACACTAGTGCACAGACATACAACATGCATTCATACATGCACAGGTGTAACCGACCATCTGCACATTAACAGAATACACACACGATAATCGTACACATGCACACACAATACTCTCACACACAGGGCCCTCAAGGCTGCTTCACTCTCTTCCGGTGCCAACAATCCAGAAACCCATTTTCTAAGCCAGACTGTGGGCCCCCCTCGGGAGCAGAGCAGCTCGGGCTCTGCACTCGGGTCAGAACCGTGGGTCTCCGTGGCCCATGCCCTAACCCCCTCCACGAAGGACCCAACTCCGCCCCATGGACAGCGCTAATGAGCGAGCATGGGGAACAGAAGGCACAAAACATGCTCTACCTTTTTCTTCCGTCCTCCCAGGGGGCCCCGCCGTGGCGCCCGGACCACCGCTTTCTTCTCGGGGGTGAAGTCCTGGGTGGGGAGAGTGCACTGAACGGGGGCGCAGGCCACCTCACCGGGCTCTACCCGTGCACCCACCTTCTCCCGCCCTCCCGCAGTCACCTCCCACCCACCTGGTCACTGGTTTTCTCTGACTCAGACGAGCTTTCTGAGTTCTCCTCTTCGGATGGGGACACGCTGGCTTGATCCAGGTCACTGGACGCCTTTCGAGCTCGTTTCGAGACTGACATCTGCAAGGGGAGCCACCCGGACGTGTCAGCGACTAGGAGAGCCATGCTCTCGGCAGGAAGCCCCACACCTGACCACCAGCAGCCTGGGTAAAGCTCAAGTTCTAGAACCTTCCTGGGGCATCAAGGACCTCTGTGAGAATCTGATAAAAGCCAGGGATCTTGAACCCTGAGGGTGTTATCCTTAGTGAAATAAGCCAGTCACAAAGGGACAATCACACAGGAGGTCCCTAGAGTCATCAGATCCACAGAGACAGGAAGTAGGATGGTGGGTGCCAGGGGCTGTGGAGGGGGTGGGGAGTGAGTGTTTCGTGGGGACAGAGCTTCAGTTTGGGAAGGTGAGAAAGTGGGGAGTGACTGCTGATGGGGACAGGGTTTCTTTTTGGGATGATACAATGTTCTGGAATTAGAGGTGACAGGTGACAATTCTGCGAATAAACTGAAAACCATTCAGTTGCATGCTCTGGCAAGGTGACTGACATGGTATATGGACACCCCAAATTTTCCAGACATGTACTGAAAAAAAAAGCTAAGAAACAAAAGAAAGGCAGGAGGGAGAGCAGCTGGGGGTGAGACGTCAGGGCCCGCCCTACCCCACCTTCAGCGCCGAGGTCTTCCTTTTCAGGCCACTGTTGTCACTGCTCTTGTCCGAGTCCGAGTCGCTCTCCATCCTGTCACTGGCGGCTGTGACGGCCATGACCCCTCGGTCCTCGTCGCCCTCGTCAGCGTCGCTCCCAACTGCAGGGTCGGCCTCGGGGGCCTCGCTGTCGGAGGAACTCACCGGCTGGAGGGGTGGGGGGCAGAGACCGCGTGTCACCGCCAGTCTGGGGCGGGTTTCCCAACCAGGACAGCAACCCGGAGGACAGCACCCACCAGCGGGATCTCAAATGTCAGCGTCCAGTCTCCTCGATTTACAAATGTGGCAACTGAGGCACAGAACGTCCGAACCAAGACGGGAGAGTGAGGGAGACGTGTGTGGTGGGCGCCAGGGTCGGGCCTTGGGCTGCAGGGTTAAACCTTGGGCAAGTGACTCCAGCCTCTCTGTGCCTCAGTGTCCCCGCCCCAGCGATGGGGATGGCACGGTTTGGGTCACAGAAGGTTGCAGTGAGGATGAAACCGAGCTGGCAGCGAAGCACTGGGGCCGGTGCCCTGACTACGGCAAGGTCAAGTTACCTCTTTTTTATTTTTTGAACATTCTTGTATCACGAGGTGGAAGCCGACCTAGGCCGAGACCACCAGGCTTCTACCTTTCTGGCATCGCTAGTTCCGCTACACTCAAAATGCCCGCGCGGGCAGTGGCAGCCACAAAAATAGCAAACGCTTATAGGACGATTGTCCCGTGCCAGCCATGTGACCGGGTTCCTTCACGCACTCAACCGAGGGCTGCTGAGCGGTGCTGTGTGTCAGGAACTGGGCTGCGGGGAACGGAGTACACAGAAGTGACCAGGGCATGGTCCCCTGCCCCTGGGAGCTGGCGACCTAGTGGGGGAGATCGATCACCACCATTCAAACAGATAAACGCAATTCCCAATCGCGGTGACAAGCAGGAGGAAGATCTGGGTGTGTGGCTGTGAGGATCATGAGAGGTGGGACTGTCATATTTTGCCTGGGTGGTCAGGGAGGCCCCTCCAAGGCCGTGACATTTCAGTGGAGGAGTCGTCCCAAGCATGCAAAGGGATAGGGGCTGGGCACATTCCAGAGACCAGGAAGGGCATTGAATGAAGGTCCCCTCTGGACCCGGAAGAGGCTGGTACGGCTGGGGCACAGAGAGCAGTGGAGGTGGCAAAGCAGTGGACGGCGAGGCTGCCGGGGCTGGATCACGCGGGGGCTGTCGAGGATCTGAAAACCCATGAGGCAAATGGCACGAGGCCAGCCAGGCCACGGGGCTTGCTCGGGTCTCCTTCCGAACTCGTTCTGGATGCCGCACGTTTGTGGGAGGAAATGTGTGAGCCCCGGCTGTGTGTAGCCGTCAGTCATCCATCTAGCGAACATCACGGAACACCTACTGCATGCCCGGCCCTGTGCTGGGCGCCGCGGCTGGAGATGAGTAAGACACGGTCCCCGCCCTCGTGGAGCTCACAGTCTAACGCGGGGACAGACAAGTAAACGCACGGTTACCACACAGCTCCTACACAGAAGCGCTCAGCAGCACCTGGCGCGGCCACGTCCGAGCATAAGATCTGACCAAGTCATTTCGTGTCGCTTCTTTTCTAAACAACTGCCATTTTTTAAGAAAAGAGAAGGAGATAGAGATTTTTAAAAGCCAGAGACTCTAGAAACAGAATAGAGTGTCACTCAGCCGTAAAGAGGAAGGGGGCTGTGACACAAACTCCAACACCGATGGACCTAGAAGGCGTGATGCGCAGTGACAGACGCCAGACGCACGAGGCCACACGGTGTGATGACATTTGTATGAAATGTCCAGGACAAGTGGATCCACAGGGACAGAGAACAGATCAGAGGCTGCCAGGGCAAAGAGGGGGGAGAGACTCGGAGGTGACTGCTGATGGGTTTCTCTGTGAGGTGATGGGAATGTTCTGGAAGTAGTGGTGTTGACCGCCCAACGTTGTGGATGTACTAAAAGCCACCGCAGGGTATACTTTAAAATGGTTAAAATGGTGAATTTTATGTCATGTGAATTTTACTTCAATATTTAAAAAGCCACCATGGAAAAAGCAAGCCGCCGTTCTCCTGGTGTGATTACGGTGGGGTGTGAGCGAGGGCAGCGGGACACGCGTGCTGAGAAAGCGGCGAGGGGGAGGGAAGGCAGTGAGCACAGGCAAGAGGCTTCTCGGGCAGTGCGAGGACCCTGACACTGGGAAGGAGGAGTGGACAGAGGAGAGAGGCCCGCCTTGTGCCAGGGGCCGCGGCTGGGCAGCCAGAGGGGAGGAGGGAGGCCTGGCGCAGGCAGGGTGTGGCCAACACCCAGGAGCAGAGGCGCCAGGACCAGAAGGAGACCCAGGTCCTCCCTCGGGCCCTGCTCCTCCCCCGCCGAGCGCGGGGGAGCCCACCCTAGTCTCACACTTGAACTCGGGCTAACAAGCCCCACTCGGCACACGAGAAAAATGAGAACCAGGTGTCGCTCAGCACTGAGCGTGTTTTGTCTCCCTGTGTCACCACGGCCAACAGCCCTTAGGCACGGCAACCCGGCCCTGTCAGTATAATTTTGGACAAGATTCAAAAGGATAATACTAAGCAGGTCAAGCCCCAAACCTAAAACGTGAGGGGAGAATAAAACGCTCGCAGGGTACATTTCCGTCACTCCTTCCCCCCGGGCGGTCAGGGGCTCGGGAGCCTTTTGTTTCCCTTTGGAGCACGCTGGTGAGCAGAGAAGGGAGACATTTAATATCTCCCCCCATTTTTCGTGGGGGGTCGTGGCACAGCAGCTCAGAGGGTAAGAGACCGAATGGCTGGCCTGAGGGTCTTCTGGAGGAGGCGCAGGTCAGTACCAGAGTCCTAAGAGTTACCACTGGTTAGGTGACAGGGGCTTATCATGGCTCTCTGTGGAAGGGTAGGAATTATCACCCTCATTTTCCAGAAGAGCCCCAAAACGCCGAGAGAGGCTAAGTGACAGCTCAGGGTCACACAGCAGGTACCTGCAGAGCCGGGCTGCAAGTGCAGACCTGCCTTGGCCTCGAGGCCGAGGTCCCTGGTCACAGCTACCCCTCATGAAACGTCTCCCCTCACTCTCGACCACCTGTGAGCAGATTCCTGCCTCCACAGCCCTGGTAGGCGGTTAGGAAGAACATGTGCATTGCACAAATGGGGAAACTGAGTCTCTGGGAAGATGAATGACTCGCCCTACGATGTGCTTGTAGATAAAGCCCGGACTCTGGCTCTCCCGGGGAAGCCCGCAGGGAGGAGACTGAACTGCCCTCCAGCAGAGGTTTGGGGAAACCGCACCAGCCACCTGCAGGACCTGAAGGCTGGCGGCACAGAGAAGTACCCAGAAATAAAAGGCTGAAGCCGGCCAACTTCCAACCATCTCTGGACCCAACGGAGCAGGGAGTGGGATGCGTGGCTCGGTTCTCCCACCGTCTTGGTGGGTCTGGGCCTGGAGGGTGACTAAATTGGAAAGGGGACAGTCAAACCCAGCCTTGCAGACTACCAACTCCACATCCACTGAGCACTGACTCAGGCCTCTGTGCAGGGGGCGTGACGTGCATTTTCTCACTGATTGTCCCAGCAGCCCTGTGAGAGGGTAGGGGCGTCACGGTCCTCTGTTTCACACGAGGAAACTGAGCTCAGAGAGGATGTTGATCCCCAACAGCAAGTAAGGAGTAGAGCCAGGACGTGAGCCCAGGGCCACCTACCCACACGGCAGGGCTCCTAGCCCAGGTTCCCTTGTGCAAGGGTTCTTCCCCAGGCCCCCTCCTCCAAGGCCCTGTCCCCAGCTCATCCCAACCAGGATCACTGAGGCCAGGAGCTCAAGACCAGCCTGGGCAACATAGCCGGACCTCATCTCTACAAAAAACAAAGAAATTAGCCAGGCGTGGTGGTGGTACACCTGTAGTCCCAGCTACTCAGGAGGCTGAGGCGGGAGGATCACTAGAGCCCAGGAGTTGGAGGCTGCAGTGAGGTATGATGGCACCACTGCACTCCAGCCCAGTGACAGAACGAGACCCTGCCCTCCCCCCAGCCAAAGAAAAAAAAAAAAAAAAAAGCTGTGCTTCTAAAAACCTATGTACTAGTTATATCAGAAGCATCCAAGACAATGCTTGGGAAGAAAAACCACAAGGCTCCCAGGATTCAGTCCTGGGCTACTGTACCTACGTCTCCAGAGGTATGACCCGGGCCTCTGCATTTTAAACACATCCACTTAGAAGCACAGACAGGCCAGAGAACCAAAGACAGAGCAGCAATAAGCACCAAGAAAGCTACTTCTCGACTCAGGGGGTCTGCACAGCGCCCGTGTATTTCTAGGGTGCACTGTTCTGAGTTTCCTTTCCTCGAGGGCAGGCACCTGTGCGGTACCTAGCAAGCGATGGGTGTCCAATAAATATTAAATGGTCTGATGATTCACCAGGAGGTAACAGGCTTAGGTCGTAACCAAAGAGAACTTGAGCTGGGGCCAGAAAAGGATCTCATGAAACTCAATGACCTTATAGGCCTTCCGATCCATTTGCTGGGGACAAGCAAAGCCTGGGGATAGGTGGCAGGTACCAAACCAGGGGAACCTCTGTCTCCTAGACATGTCACAGGTGATAAAAGATACCACCAATGTGCAATGCCCATGGGCACTGGCCCCTGATAAGGGGCTGGCAAACCCTCAGCGCTCGAGAGACATCTGTTGAGTGAATCCTGAATTCTCGACTGTGAGCTCCCAGAAGGCAAGCACTATGCCTGACTCATCTTGTGTTCCTGGCCCCTAGTGTGGCACGTGGCATGTAGCAGGTGTGAACACAGAGATGTCTACGGACGCATGAGTGGAAGCCTGCGAGCACCAACCAGCCTGAACTAAGACAGACAGGAACACCCAGACCGTCTCAAGACCCTGCGTTCTCCCCAGGCACCACAAAACGACTCCAGACTCCAGTCACAAATGCTGAAGGCTGGATCCCACCCTCGCTGGCTCCACTTTCCTCCCCTTGGACCACCTCAGACGTCCTTTTCTTCATTAACAGCCAAATTTTCCCCCACTATGGCCAGTTCCCTTGGCCTCCCAACAGCTCCATGCCCACCCTGCTAAGCCCAGGCCACCCCTGCCCCCGACACTCCCACATAAACCTCCAAAGCAGTGGTGAAAAGCAGAGCGATTCCATGCAAGAAACTGACATGAAAGAAATAAAAAATAAGCAAAGAACCCCAGCCCGTCTTCTCACATTCCAAATCACCCGAAAATTCTAAGAGCCAGGCACCCCCTCTCCTATCCTTCCACGGCCCTCTAGCTATTTGACTTCTACTTTTCTAAATTTCTCCCTCTGCCTGAATATTTCCAGACACTAATTTGCCACTGAGATGTCATCTCTATGATTCCTGGCACTTTTTTGCACCTGACTGAGAACTCTCCCATCTACAAACTACCACCTTCTTCACTCGAGTCTAAAATCTGGCAGTAATGGGGGAGCTATTAAAAGAAAAAAATGTATTTTCGTTAGAAAACAAAAGGTTTTATAAGATCTGTAACAACAGTGTTATAAATTCAGGCTAATCCTACAGCAATAGTTCTCACCAGGGGTGATTCTGCACCCTCTGTCCCCACACAACGGGGGGTGGAGGGACTCCTGGCGTGGAGTGGGTGGAGAACAGGAACACTGCTCAGCACCCTGCAATGCCCAGGACAGCCCCCAATGTGCTCAGTGTTCAGGGGAGAGACCCAGGCCTAGAGGCCTCTTCTTTTCCTGAGACAGGAGAAGGCCGCCTCCAGCCCCACGGTGAGGAACTGCCCTGCCCGACTCGTTTGCCACGAGGCACTCACCGGAGGGGCGCTGTAGCTGGCGTGGGGGTTGTGCTGGATCTCCCACAGGCCCTCATTGAAGCCTTTCCTCTTGTTGGGTTTCCCGTACTTATCTTTACATTTGTCGTAGGGGAACAGGTCCTTGGGTCCCAGGAAGGCTCTGGAGAAAGGAACCACGGGCCGGTCCCAGGTGAGCTGGGCCACCCCAGGAGGCACCAGAGGGGAAAGCCAAGCCCCAGCTGGGGACACTTACGTTTCGTGTGTACCAAAGAAGAAGATGGGGTATTTGTTGGGCGGGGGCTTCACAGCACCGTCGGCAATATCATCGATCTGCAGAGAGAGGCCAGCGGGACAGTCAGGGGTGGCTTGGGGCAGGGGGAAAGCTTTGCCCACTGACCCAGGAAATCACCAAGGAAACAGCCCAGTTACTTGGGGAAAACCATGCTGAGAGGAGAGCAGCCTTCAACCCAGGAAGACGCATCCCCTTCCAAATAGGAATCTGCATTCTGCGTAGCCTCCACTGCAAACCTGTCCCCAACCCAGAGTGCCCTCTCTCCCCGCCAGGTAGAGAGCTGGCCCCAAGGCAGGTGCTTCACCTAAGCAAAGCCAAATATGGCCCTCTGAAGCAACCAGGGGGTGGGGCCGAGCTCAGCCTCTATGGACTCCCAGGACCTTCCCACGGGACCCCTCCTGCAAAGAGGCGATCGGCAGGCGGTCCCCCAGAGGGTGCAGCTGGCAGCTCCAGGGATGCGGAGGGTGGGGGGTGGGCTACAAGAGACGGCCCTGAGCATCCAGGAAGTCCCACCCTCTCCCTGCAGGCCCATGGGCTCTGGCAGCTGTCAGTCACCTCCCCACAGGAGGCCAGCAGCCCCTTCACTTCCAATCAGGTGCCTGGAAACGTTCTGGACTAGGAGAGGGGCTGGAGAAGGGGGGACGGGGGAGGGAAAACCTAGTGCTCTGGGAAGAGGAGAACTGGGCAAAGGAGGGAAGTGTCTGTAAACTTCCGTCACTCTGGTCTCCCCCAAGAGGATAAGCGGGAGCAAATGTGCTAGAGTGGGTCCTCTGGTCCCAGCTCGTCCCGTCCCCATCCACTTCTCCAGCTCCTGGGAGGCTGACGGAATCTGCCCGGCCCCACTCTGCCACTTCCTTCTTGCTCACTTTTCCTCTACTTTTCCAAACTCCTTGGCCCCTGGGCTCGGCCACGGGCCTGCAGGCCAAGCATCCCTCTCCCCGTCAGAAGCATCCCGGCGGTCCCGCGGAGGACCAGCAGGCGTGCCCTCTGGGCCCTGCTTCTCTTCTTGCCTCATGCAGGACCCGCCCTGATCCCAAGGCCCGGACATCCTGGAGGCAGCACCAGCTCTGGGCTCCAACAGCCACCTGCTCTCAGGCTGCCCAGTCAACCCGGAGACACCTCCTGTGCTGGTTCTGGTCCAGCCCACCCTTCAGCCTCCCCCCTTCACTGCCCCTTCCCTGTGCCCAGCCCCAAATTCCTCCAGTGCTACCCTGCAGATTCCACCAGCCCCAGCCCTGGGGCGACAGCTCTAAGACCTGGCCTCCGCTAACAGGGCCTGGAACTCTGCTCTCTGCACACTTGGGACTCCCAGTCTTAGGACGCCCTTCTGACCTGGACATTTTGGACGACCTGGTTCCCCTGGCCCAGCCCCCTTGCTCATATGCACTCCCACCCCCTGGGCCCGGGACTGGTCTCCATTTCACGCATTGGGGAGGAGACCCCTACCTCCCAGAAACCAGCTTCTTAGCCTCCTCCTGGCCTCCTCCCCACAAGGGACCAGTCCCCAGGGTCCCCCAACCAGCCTTATGCCGACCCCATTCTCAAGCCCATTTCCCCCAGCCGCAGCCCCACGTCCACGCCCGACCTCCTTCAGCTGCTTGCTCACGGCCCAGCATCCCTTGGCCTTGACGCTCAACCATTCTCCACTACTGCGCCCCTCATCCCTAAAGCCCCTCACAGGCGGCCTTGCACTGGGCTTCTCCGGGCCCCACAGTGGGGTGCTTCGGCCTGGGGCGCCCCCCTCAAATCAGATTTCACCCCCTCCTCAAATCCCAAGTTCCCCTCAGACCCACCGACCTCCCTCACACTTGAACCGTGTCCTCTCAGGCCTGGGACCCCCAGACCCTGGGGCGAGGGTCTCCAAGCCCTGGACTCCTAGAACCCTGGCGTGAGGGTCCCCCAAGCCGGACATCCCCAAATCCCAGGGGTGAGGGTCTCTCAGGCCCGGAACACCCCCAGACCTCCAGCGCGAGCGTCCCTCAGGCCTGGGACACCCCCAGACCCCGGAGCAAGGGTCTCTCAGGACCCAGACACTCCCAGACCTCGGCGCAGCTTCCTCGCGCCCCCGACATCCCCAGACACCGGCCCGCGCCTCCCTCAGGCCCCGGACACCACGAGAGCCCGGAGGGCGCCGCCCTCAGGCCCCGCACACCCCCAGGCCCGCGGCGCGCGGCTCCCTCAGGCCGAGGGCCCCCACTGCCCCACCCCCCCGCCGGGCCCATCTCCCGCCCCGCGCGGCCTCACCCGGGCTGGCCAGTGCGGGTAGCCCTTCATTTTGGCGAACACCAAGTCCCCGGGCTTGAAGGCGTGTGGCATGCTGGCGGCGGGAGGCCCAGGCCGCGGGAAGCGGCGGCAGCGGCGATAGCGGCTGCGGCGGCGGCGGCGGCGGCGGCAGCGGGAGGCGAAGCCGGGGGCGGGAGCGGGACGCCGAGGGGCGGGGGCGACCGCTTGGGCAGCCGGCCGGCTTGTGTTTATTGGGCTTTGCGCCGCCGGAAGTCCCGCCCTCCGGCCATCACGGGCAGGCAGCTCCGTCGCTCAGGCCCACGTGCGGGAACAGAGAAGCCCGGCGGCCAATGAGAAGAGGGGATGGAGCGGAGCAAGTTAACGGGATTGGATAACGGGCAGAACGAAGGGGTGTGACCCAGAGGCCTAATGGGAGGTTATGGGAGGTGAAAGGGAAAAGGTGGGAGGAGAGAAACAGAGGCGCTAAGGGAGCGAAGGGGTGGGGCTTAGCTGAGAGGGGCGGGATATAGACCGCCACACAACGAGAGACTTTAAGTGGGGGCAGATCACTGGATACCACAGAAAAGAAGGCCAATCAACGTAGGGGGCGGGTCATCGATAAGCTCATCCTCCTGGTGGAGGGGCTTAACGTAGGGATACAGGTCATTGGATACCACAAGAGAAGCTCCTCAAGGTAGGGAGCGGGCATTGGCCACCACAGGAGGAGGGGCTTAAGCAGGGGTCGGCCATTGGCTATCGTAAGAAGAGAGGTTCAACTCAAAACAGGGAGGTGACACCTCGAGGGGGCTGGACTTATGGAAAGGGGCGGGGCAAGTGGCAGCTCTCAGGAGATACCCAGCCACAAAGCGCTCAGAACTCTTCTTTTTTTTTTTTTTTTGAGACAGAGTCTCACTCTTTTTGCCCAGGCTAGAGTGAGTGCCGTGGCGTCAGCCTAGCTCACAGCAACCTCAAACTCCTGGGCTAAAGCGATCCTTCTGCCTCAGCCTCCCGAGTAGCTGGGACTACAGGCATGCACCACCATGCCCGGCTAATTTTTTCTATGTATTTTTAGTTGCCCAATTA